ATATTCCTGTTAGGGTAGCTGTATGTGAATAATAATGCATGTAACATGCTTGGCAGAAGGCTGAAATGCTCAAAAGTGACAGTATTTCTTTTGCACGACCTGTTTTCTGCCCCTTCACACAGCATGATTGATTGAAATGTGGTGCAACTTGCCAAGGACTAAAAAGGCATAAGATGAAGCTCTTTATTCTAATCTTATTTTTAGTTATTCATTTGAAGACCAGTATCTATTATTTCACATACTATATTCTTGTTCATCACAGGCTGCTGGAAAATTATGTCTGCGGTAGGGAGGTCTTTTGAAGGCTGTGGCATGATGTACTAGGAGACTGAGTAGCACTGCCAACCCTGGCTCTTCTGCCCCCGCTGTGTCCCAGCCTAAAACAACAGACCTTCTTCTACTTATTATGAATTTTCTTCTGACTCAAGAACACAGTTGCTTATAGTCTTGGAGTGGAGGCCCAATTCTGGTTATGGGAGAGAAAGGTTGTAAGAGAGCTACAACCTTTCTCACAAAAGGACTTTCAGGCATCGACACTGGGTGAAATTGAATTGTTCTGAAGTGAGATGTTTGCTCAGATATAAGGGCTTCAAGACTGTTTTCCTGAGGCAATCCCTTGCCAGCAGATAAAAAGAGGCTGAGTGGAGTGGACAGTCCTCTGAGAACTGAGGAGCCTCACGACGTGAGAATAGTGGCAGACTTCTGAAGGCGGTGGACCTGGGGAGATTTCTCTTCACCACTCTCCCCTGAGCACATTCCCTACCTGGATGCCAACAGTCAGGCTTCCTGATCCTCAAATCAGGTAAATTCAATACTGGGAAGAAACATTTATACTGCCACTTAGGTTGATTACGGCTTGTTTGTCCTTGATTATCTCAGCCCAGACTGGTGAGCAATTATTGATAAATTGTAGCAGTGACTGGAGACCTGGAGACATAGGTCCTTCTGGGACCCCCAGTTAAGCAGTTTTCTTTATCTCACTGCCACCTAGTGGTAACTGAGCAGACTGAAAATGCTTCATTTATATCCAAGGAGAGAAGGTGGCTGGCAAGGAATTTTTCTTCCCTTTCCACTCCTTTCCGAGAAGCACAAGAAAAGAGTGATAAATGTGTCTCATTCCACTGACTTCCACTCCTCTGACAACATTTATCTGACACTGTACATTTTAAGCTAGGTGACTCTTCTGCCTTTACTGTGATTAATGAGAACATTCTCATTTAATCAGAAATCTTTGAGATACAAAACAAACAAGGACCAGACCTAGAGCATGTGTGTCTTGCTTCCTTCTCTTCCACTACAGTGGTTAGAAATTTCACGTTTGTCAGCCGAGCCCAAGTTAACGTATCCTTTCAAGTGGGGAACTGGGCCTTGACATTTAACTTGAGGTTTCCCTCCTTAAGAATCAATGTGATTTCACCTGTCCACTTTACCCAGGTGACTCAGTTCCAGAAGCACACAGAAGAGATCAAGTAATCAATGTGGCAAATCCTTGGGCAACTCAACTTCCTGTACATGCACAGAAGAAAACTGGTGGCAAATTCACATATTTCTGGAATCACGTTAGGATCAATTACCCAAATGTGGTAAAACACTCAGAGGAGAGCAGAATCAATAGTGATTACAGTAGACCATGAAGAGAATGGATTAATGCCAGTGAGCTGTTTAGGCAGAATAAATTTGCAGGGGCAGTTACCATTGCTTGGGGCTTAAAAGAGAGAATCCATAATGTGGACCAAGTTCCTTTTCTAAGCATGAACTTCAAATAAACTTGGAAGAAAAATCCCTCAAGAATGGCATGTATTTTGGTTAAGAAAAAAAAAAAAAGCACAAGGTTACAATAATGAGACTGCAGAAGGTTTGAGATGTTTTAACTTTCTAGATAGGTGTCTTCACTTGGAAATGGACTCTCCTGCTACCTACCTGTCTCCCCCGCCTCCACGCTCCCCCAAATCAGCAGAGACAATGCAGCCAGGACAATAATACAATAATCATATTTATTAGTTTCCACACTCCCGTGTGACACACATCTAAAGCAGAACATTGCAAACTGATGTTACTAGCAGCAATCCTCCCTAAATAGGAAGGGTTTCGGTTAACAACAATTAGGAGTAATTTAAAGACAAGATTACAAGTCATGGTTTTTCTTTTAGCAGCTGGTATATGAATAGTAAAACTATAGATACATAGAGTCTTCCAGGTACAGCCTTGTCTAAAAAAATATTAATAAGTCATGGTGCAGAGGGTATCCCCAGGGTTGCCAAATAGAAGTCTGATGTCTTTAGATGTCAGTATGGAATAAGCAAGTCACTTTTCAAGACATAGCTTACTGCTTTACTGTCAGGACAACAGAAAAAGAAGTGGACAGCTGCTCTAGAACCAAACTCACACACAATTCAGCCAGATAATCATTGTTTAAATAATACCCCTTAAAATTTTCTAACTTTGTTTTTTCACCGCTCTAAAAATATAACATCAGACATTTGCTCCAAAGGACTAAAAATCGAAAGCAATTGCCATGTGTTGGGAATAGCTTTTATAGCTTTCCTAAGGGACGGTTCCCATCTTTTCAGAGAGTGTTTTTAAAGAAGCACCAACTCTGGTAGCTTATTAAACTACTTTTTATTCTAAATAAATAAAAGGCCAACTGAAGGTCTCAGGTGTACTTATTTTTCTTCTCTAGATCTTTGAACCATCCAAAGCCATTTCTTGACAGAGAGCTTTCATTTTTATTAGAGGAGTGCAAGAGAACTTACAAACATTTGAAAAATACTCACACTGAGAGCAAAGGAAGCCCAACCCTTCCTCAGAGCCCAGAAAACTGACAGGAACCCCAAAGGCTTATCTTAAATCCATCAACTCAATTTGCCAGAAAATAACAACAGATCACCCACCTTCGCAACACAGGCCCAAATAAGATTTTCTTGTTTTACAACCACTAAGTAAAGCCTTCTGGGAGAAGACAAATACAGAATGGTGAACACAAGTTACTGAAAAGGGGCCAACTGCATTCTATATCTGGCACAGAGAAAGAAAAATTAAAACAGCTGCGAAACCATCATATTTATACCACGATACTTTTCTCTTACATGAACCTTGACCTTCTCACAGTAACAATTTCATTCATAAAAAATACATCTAAGACTGGAAAGCTTTGGGGAAGCACCAGTGACAGGTAGCTGTCTCTGAATAATTTTAACTTTTTCCTACAGACAAAATTTAGAGAAAATTTTAAAAAGCAATTTATAGAGCTGATTCTATTTCATGATTTTGCCCATGTCAGCTGCTATAGAAATAATGCAAAGAGAAATATAAATATCCATTTTCCATCAAGTTAGGTTTCTATTTCTTTTTTCTCAAGGGTTAGAAGTGGTACACCTAGATTTCTATAAGGCTTCTAAGAATTAAGGGCAGCTCATAGCTCCTGATCTAACAATCTCTAAAGGCGCTCCTGGACTCTTTCACCATAAGGATAGAGCTTCTCCGTATCCATAACAATTCATGACAATGATGTCTATGTACACAGATCTCAATGCTAATGGTTTCCAAGCTTTCTAACTTGACATGCACCATGCACAGACAGCAAGGTACCAATTGGTCTAAAGCCACCTGCTTCAGCCACTACTAACTCTGGCTAACATTCTCACAAACAGCCTACCTCTGGTCACAAGATGATACCTGAAAGGAAGCATAAATGCTTCCCAAATACTAGATCAAATAACCTAAAGTGAAAGTTCTACTAATGGTAGAGCAGAAGAATCACCTCTATGTATAAAGAATGGCACATGAAATTGTTCTGGGCACAAAACCGTATCTTCCATTTTTTAATCACTTGCTACTATCTAACAAAGCTGGCTACTCCTGAGAAGAACTCACCATGTGCATATATACGTCCTGTGAATTATCTTGAAAACATATTCCCGTATCTAGAGATTACTCAGAAGAACCAAAGTTGAATGTTCAAAAATAAGTACTATTCTTACCAAGTTTCCCACGCCCATCCTTGGAGAATACTAGAAACCAGTTTTGTTGCACTTCAGCTGTGTAGGGCCCTTCTCAGGTGAGTTGGTGGGGGGCTTCCCGAACTCCACCATTACGCTCCCCTTCTCTTTCCTTCTTCTGAAGAAGACTTCAGTTATTTCCATAGCAATTTATTATAATGTCCTAGATGATCAGTTTTTGAGCAGCACCTATATTATTAGGATCTATTTTTTCTTCCTTTTGAAAAATTTCTCCAATAATAAAGGCAATGATTTTTAAAAATTGACTTCTCCAAAAAGTAATTATCATGCTTTGTACAAAACAGCATATTCACTAGATATGATTCATTCCAGAATCCCTGTCCTAACCAAACAAGTCAACGGGAACATATAGCACATACGATAGATCACACAGTTTAAAAATAATGTTCCTAGCCAGAATTTTCGTGTTGGGCAGAAAACAGTAAATCAACCCTTGTATAGATATATGAATATTATATCTAAACATGAAGAAGAATATGTTTAAAATAAATCAGGTTAGATTTAATCAGCCACTGAAATGAAAAGAAATCAATTATATTCCTTTGATTACAAATTTCTACATTATTGGGAAAATACAGTATCCACTACAGTTTCTAGCTGAGGGACAAGAGGATAGATGGATGAGGATAGCCACACCAGGAAAACTGATAAAGAGCATCACCTGATGATTAAACAAGACAACTATTAATTTGGTAACTGTGAGATTTTGGACACACTACTTAGAAGAGAATTTAGACTGGCAGATTCCAAAGATAATTGTTCACCTGAGTTTGTAACCTGGAACCACTATAAACTTAAATGCATCTGATCTGGCTCTAGAGTATACTTTAAAATGCATTTAAAAATAAAAACAAAAGACCGGTTCCCGCTCACTGGCTGAGCGAGGCACGGGAGCAACACCGAGGGTTGCAATCCCGTTGCCGGTCCCCGGTCCAGTACGGGGGCAACACTGAGGGTTGCGATCCGTTGCTGGACACGGAAAAAGACAAAAGACAAAAAAAAAATAATAATAATAAAAAAATAAATAAATAAAAACAAATAAAAACAAAAAACTTGCACAAATTCCCCTTTGGGGATGTGTCATTTTTAGATGTTCATTCTCCCTTTGGTACTATCATATAAACCCCTTGAAAAGTTCAAGGGAATCCTTTCTGATAATGATCAGAAAGGGGGGGGGCTGGGATGTGGGGGGAGCAGCAAAAAAATGTTACTCTTCAGAGAACTTCCATTTTCCCTTGGGAAGAAGAAATGGAATACGGAAAATAATTTCTGAAGATATCACTGCCTTCTGATGCGAGTTACAACAAGATCATAATTATGACACCTATGAAGATTACTTTCTTATGTAGCACCTACCTTGCTCATAAGACATAGAGTTCTTACAAAGCAATGAAATAGAGTTAGGAAAAATTACTCATGGCACTTAAACATGTTTAGAGACTGTAAAATGCCTTTCTAAAATTCTTTGTCTCAATGCCCCTATGAGGTAGGTGTCTAATGGGAAAAAACTGAGGCACAGAGGGGAAGTCCTCTCACTTTTCACTGTATGATAAACCAGTAGTCCAGCTAGCAGAAGGACTAGGTGTCCCAGCTCCCTCAACTTTAGTCACCCTGCTTCACAGAAAGCTTATCTAAGTTACACAACAAATAGAGCAGGAAAAATTTTTCTTTTCATACATTTTAACTAGCTAGTTATTTCTTATTTTCACTTTGAATACAAGTTATCCAAGATAAAACCAAACATAAACTAACAAAACAAAAGAGGCAATATTGCCTAACAGTCTGTGTCAAGATGCAGCCTATTCTGCACTGATGATAGAGAAAAGCATATAATATGATTCAAGTAGAAGCATTTGTGGGTGCTATGGCGTGCCTGTTACTTAAGTCAGGCTGTGAGTAAAGTGTCCCTTCAGACACTACCCACTGTACTTTTTGAGAACCTTTTTGGCCTGACACAAGGGAACAAAACTAACACCTGTGTTTCATGACAAAACCATTCTGAAAGATACTCTCCACAAGGCCAGCCCTGCCTGGAAAGGGGACTCTCAGCTGTGTGATGTGTGTGTATTACTGAGTTCCCCCAGAACTCTTTGAAGCCAGACATGAAGGTCACAGTCTCCTGCCATAAAGCTCACAGGACAGTTCACACTACATACAGAGGAGCAATACCACAGGTACATGCACTAGCACCATGCCACAGAAGTCAGAGAGAAGGACAAGAAGCCACCACACAAGCATCTTATAGTCCCGTCTGGTATGCCATTTGCAGAGGCTACCTCTGGTAAGGGAAGACTGATGAGGTCCTGTACTCCTTTCCATAATAAGGAGAGGATCAAAATAGAGTATTCATTGCTAGCTGCTTTGAGCATACCACCAATCCAAATTTTACCCGTACGTAAGCTGGTAATGTTCCTTAATCATATAGATATTCAAGATAATAATTTCATTTCTTGATCAAGAAAGAATAGTGCAGAGCAAAATACAAAGGTCAGTCACAACATGGAGGTGCAGGGCTCCAGGGCAATTCACACTGCTATTCTTAGAATCAAATTCATGAGTACTCAGGTCACTAGCTTTTAGAAATGAGATAATTCTTTCTGAGACAATTTCTTTCTATAGTCTCTAATAGTGAATTCCATTCATACTGTGTGACCCTTAAGTCAAATGGAAGATCTTATACTCATATTTGGTTTGAGAGTCTGAAGTAGACCATAATACCACATCAGATGCAGGTACCTATGTATGGCTTTTGCCTTAATATTAATGCAAACAACTACCCTCCCAAGACCTGTCCTCCCCTTGAGCTCAACTTCCAGAGGACCGAGCCTGCTCTGTCCTCTGCATATGCAGGACCAGAGGGAATCATTCCAACTCAGAGTTTCACTGAGATACTAAGATACAGCAGAGCAGCAATTCATGCACTTTACTTCTAAAAACCAAAGCTTAAGTGAGGCTGAGCTGGTCACTGTGCAAGATGAACCAGCAGGACATTCTCACCTCGAATGAAAATCTGATTTATGTGTCTAGTGAATACCTGCTGGTAATCAACTTTCGGCTTTCGCTTTTTCTTACAGGACTGGCCCCTAGAAAGGGTGGTAGCCCTGGAAAAGGTACCTCCTGCACTGGACCCTTCTGTCCGTGTAGTCCTCCCTGACATCTCTGACCTGGATTCCTCCCTTGCGGATGCCTGCAGGGAAGAAGGGACGGAACGGGAACGCCTGCGTGAACCCCTGTCAGTGTCTCCTCTTCCCCACACTGAAGCCACCTTCCAAGTAGATGTCTGGGAGTATCTGGACAGAGTGGAGTCTTCAACTGCAGACCTAGAATCTGCTTCCTTCTTGGAGGAATCTTGAAGTTTCAGCCGATCAAATAGCTTTTAAGGAAAGCAATGACAAATATTAGCCTTCTCTTTACCCTTCAATATCCCCCTTTCAACATTCAGAAAAAGACCAGATTCCTTAATTATGATCTGTGGACACCTTGCTTTTCATCTTTTAAAAAGTTAATAATGAGTTTTCTATTTCTAGCCATAAGTCAGATAAACCGATACATATGTCAAGAGAAAAGGCACCTACTTATTTCCATGGTATAAAGCTGAAAGACTTTTAAGCCTTAAAGAGTTAACTTGTTGCTCAAATAATATGCAGGTTAGAAGCACAGACTCATCTGAGATTAGCTGGAAGCACAAGAAGAGAGACTAAGGAAGAACTCTCAGTACAGGCATACCTGGTTTGCAGCAATAAAGATTTCCCTCTAGGAAATCCTGGTAATGGAGCTCAGTGATCTTAATTTCTTTTTTTTTTTTTTCCTTTTTGTCTTTTTTTTCGTGACCAGCAACGGATCGCAACCC